ATCAGGTGCGAGTTTTTTTATCGATGTCACGGTTGCGTCCAAAACAAATGAAGTCGTCTTGGAAGAGAGCAAAAGAACACCCCCCGGTTGCGTGTGTTTGTGCGCGTGGCCTTCGTAGGTGCTGCTCGCTCACAGCACTTGCCCTAACGGTATGCGAAGGCTATACGGGGGACCTTTGCCTTTGTGCGTGGGGAGCGGTATTGTAGTAGCGGTTAGGTTCGCAGCGCTATGCGATGCGCTACGAACCTGGCCACCTGCGGTTCGATCTCCGCTCACGGCCAACAGCGGTGACGATTACTGAACCGGTCCTGGGCTTCATCTAGGTCGACTCAGCCTCAAATGGGTACCTGGTGCGACGCGTAAACATCGCCACGAGGGAGGCAAAGGCGGCCGGGCGTGATGTTGGCCACCTACCCCTCGTGTGCCGTGCCGGGCCTTCATAGGTGTTACTCGCTAACAGCACTTGCCCAAACAGTCTGCTAACGGCTATGCGCGGGGGATCTTTGTTCTTGTGATCGCTGTCCTTTGCGACACGAACGAGTCAATCGGAAGTCCCGCGTGATTCCATGACCACTTGTGACTGCCTGCGACACCTTGCGTACGCACGCGGAGACACGCACACTGCCGCCGCTGCTGCGCCTCTCTTAAGGCTTGTTCACGCGTGCAACATTTTTATTAGAACACGATGCTTGTGGACACGTGCGCGATTAGAGCGAGCGAGCGGGCGGGCGCCTTTCGCGAACTGCGGCGCTGCAAAAAGAAGTTGCTTCCACACCGCGCGCCCCCCCCCAACCCACCATGCGCTTTCATTTCTTGCCCTTTTCGCGGAGCTTTGTGTTGTTTGGGTTGCAGACGCTAGGAGAAGTTGCACTCTCAGCCATGCCAGCTACGGCGAGCGCTGTCGTGCCCTCCACAGGCGGGATTTGGCCAAACCATCGGACAAATGCGGCGGTCGCCGCATCGCGCGCCTTCAGATGCGCTTCCGTGGCCGTCTGGAACGCGCTCATCCGATGTGAGGAAGCTACTGGAGCCGTGCACTTTTAAATTTGAATTGAAAACTCATTTCTTTGCAACTCACTTTGTGTGCTTATTTTGTTGTCCCTCGCCCACACACCTCCGATTATCACGGTTGACTATGTACGGTGAGAAAGAAGTTCAACATATATACGCACATGCGTGTAATATTGCCAAAGTTTTAGCGAAGCACAACATTCAGTGCATAGGAGACGTATGCAACAGGACGATATTACCAACATTAATGCATTGCTAAAGTTTTAGTTTCTTGAGTAAATGTTTTCTTTAAATGAATTTATAATGTAATTATTTTTATGCTGAGTGTCTGCTGCTGCTGCTGCTGCTGTGTCCTGCCCAGCGCTTTGAGGACGTTTATGAAAAGCCGCTATATAAATGGAATTGTTATTGTGTCTTTGACCGATATTTAATCATCACCACCTACCCTGATTCATGTGCCGCTGGATGAAGTCCTCCCTCGCGGTGCTTCAAGCTCCTACTGTGCCACGGTCCATCTAGGTCCTGCGCATGAACTTACCCACATCACTTCGTCTGCATGTTGATTGTCCTATTGGCCGTGTTTCCTCCTTTGGCTGCTATCATCTGTCCTAACGGTGAATGCGATGTGTCTAATTAGAATGTCTTTACCTCTCTCATCCACGTGTTGCTCTTTCCATCTCCAAGTCTAATGGCCAGCGTTGGCCCTCTCTCCATGCCTCTGCATCGTTTCAGAAAAGTAAAACAAAGAATATGCTGTACCCTTTCTGGCAATAAAACAGTTGTGTTAATATGTCCAAACACAAAATAGATGCATTTTGCAAGGAATTAAAAGTCTGCATTAACCACACGTTCTCGTGGCGAACATGCACACAAACATGCTCTGATATAATTTCTGCATTGTCTTTGAAACTGATTGGACAACACCTTTTTTCTACTGCCAGAACGGGTTAAACCTATTCTTATTTTTCACACCTTGATACTGGCAAAAAAGGGTCACGTGATATAGTTTCAGTTTTTGTTCACGCTTTTTTTTATCAGAATCCATCTTTTTGGTCCGTACATCATCACGGTCAATATCTACTGATTGAAAACGTTCCACTTTTGGATGCATTGGTGAGTTACTTTCCATTATCAAATAAAATGTCTGATATCGCTGTAAATTCCCTTGATGGGAGGGCGTTTCTTTGACTCCTTTTCGGATTTTGTTTTGCATCTTGTTACTTTCTTCATGACATCTCCAAAACGTTCACAATTGTTGTTTATACTTCTTTCGGATTGAAAAGCATTTGCATGTGGTGGCTATGATGCATGCCACGTAACCGCATGCACTCGTTGCCAGCGAATTTGTCAAGCTTTATTTTAAACCAGATCCCAAAAAAGAAATCGATCGTGGGAGTGAGTCTTAGCCAGTAAACCCGAAATATTGCGTGAGTTAGACCGCTTCGTAAATTCACAGGACAAAATGTGGATATGCAAAGTGAACTGCATAGAGAAATCCTGAATTAATTCAGCATAACGGTTTTGACTAACGCAGTGTAGCTCACATGTTGAAAATGACGCAGAAGTACTTTGACATATGCTAACCATGTTGTGAAGCCAAGGCTCTATGTCTCCGCCAAATAAGCTTAAATGTGCATTGATTTCATTTTAAAAGCATAACCTCAAAGGCATTTTTATAGCAGTAATGTATAGTGCAGCCTATGTTGGACATTCCTATAACGTTTTATGGATTGAAACATGAGAACGTGAACATTTGAGAATGTATCTGCAAAGTATGGTCATTACTTTTAATAAACCCCACATAAGTTAATGACTTAAATGCTTCCGAATGGTTTATAATTAATAAACTACGGGGTTTTATTCTCCATTCTTCCTGCCACACATTATTAACTTCACTGTTAATGGTACTTTTTGCAACGGGTTGAATTCTATTCACTGCCATGTCATCGTATCTAATGTTGGGCTATAATTTGAAATCGGTAGTATTATTCCATGGCCGAGTCTATTAACATATACGTGGGGTTTTATTTATTCATTTATTTACAGCCCTTTGCCAATCCAACTTCTCAATGTAAGTTTTCTAATGTTTCGGTCGTGGAGGTGCTTGACCATACTTCACCACGCTAGTCAGTGCGGGTTAGGGAAGGGGGAGCCAGAGCCGGTTCAGGAATCTAAGCGCACTGATTTTAGCCCATGGCATGTGAGAATCTAACCCAGGCCGCCAGGGTTTATGCACGTATTTTGAACTTCTTTCGCACCGTACGTAGCTAACCATGCCAATTGGAGCGTGCGTTTCTAATACAGCACCCTAACAACTCCACCACCAATCGCATCCCACATACGTGTAGCATTCGGGGTGATAAGGACAAAATAATATAATGTTCAAATCGGTCATTTTGAACAATCGCCTTGGTTGGCACAACAGCGGTTAGGCTGCACGACTTACCAGCACCTCCAATGGGCACTGTTGTTTACGTACGGTGCGAATGGAGTTCAACATACATACATACGTACGATGCGAAGGTTACAAGTTCACTTCCTAGTCATGGGTGCTCACTCATCTGGCATCGATAAAATGAGTGGGCCTCATTGAGGCGATTCACTCCCACTCTAGGGATGACGAGCGTCCTGCACTGGGAAGTTCGGTCAGCTCCATTCATGAGTTACCAGCATTTGGGACGAAACGCGAGTGCCCCACATAAAACGTTATAAGAGGCGAGTGACACCCAAAGCTCTGCACAGATGTATTCAAGAATCCATCGCTCTACTCTCATCTCCGCGCCACCTCACAGCAGCAATTTCACAAAACCTCGTGCTCATAATCAAACTTCTATCCAAGTACTAGCCAGGCTTAAAAAAAAATCCTGATTAGCTTCTGACGAGATTGAGTGCATTCAGATTAGTTTTTACTCATTGAAAAATACTTTAATTGTTTTATTAAAATGATTGTACGCATATGTTTTAGCATGGGGAGCAGTGGTTTAGTGGGTCGCATGCCATGAACCCAATAATCCGTGGTCGATTCCCAGCCACGGCTAACATCGGTGGCGAGTGGCATCTGATCCAGTCTCAGGCTTGCCCACCGACCCTTTACCAACCAGCACTGACCAGTATGGTGAAGTGTAGTCAGACAACTCTCACAACCAACAAAGTTTTGGGAGGCCTCCACCCAAAAGTTGATTTACAAAGGAATTTATTTTGTCTCAATTTTGTTTCATGGCTAAGAAGCCGACATACTGGAACTATGATTTGCATTAGGCCCGATACTGTAAAACATTACGTATATATGCGTTCAACAACAACAACAAATCTGATGTTAAAATAACCATTGAAGTGAATTCCAAAGTTTGTATAACTGTCCAACTGCAGGTACAATGGAAGCCAGGCTATACAACATTTATGATGTTGTGCATTGTTTCATAACCACCATAATCATCAGCAGCAGCCATGGTCAATCCACTGCCTCCCTAAGCCGCCGCCATCTCCCGCCATCCTGCGCTGTAATAATGCCATCAAACACCTGCAAGAAAAGCCAATTTCATTGCTCCATCTCTTCCACGTTCTCTTGGACGCATTCTTATTCCTGCATGCAGCTGACCTGAAATAGATTCGAGTTGTCGGCAGACGCACCGTATTACCCCGGTTTAAATAAAAACATTTGCATTCATGTACAACAACACTTCTTGACTGACACATACAATGAAATGTACACATTTATTATTATTATTTTACAACTGCATCTACTGTATGTACAACAGACACTGATCCGCAGACTGTTGGGGCAAGTGCTGTTAGCGAGCACCTATAAAGGCCGGCACGGCACACAAGGGGGTAGGTGGCCAACACCACGTCCGACCGCCTTTGTCTCCCCAGTGGCGATGTTTACACACCGCAACCAGGTACTCATTTGAGGCTGAGTCGACCTAGGGGAGGCCCAGGACCGGTTCAAATATTCGTCACACTGGTGTTGACCATGAGCGGGAATCGAACTCGGGTCGCCGGGTTCGTAGCGCAGCGTAGTGCTAACCGCTGCTACACTACCGTACACACACACACGTGCGTGATGGCACTTGAGCATCACCCACGGCTTGGACGTTCGGTAGAAATATAATTATTATAATTGTTTTTGAAGTTTTGGAACAAGTCCACAGACCACCTGCTCCCACCTACACCTTCATGTTTATTTAAGCAAAGGAAAATGTATTCACCATTACGTGTTTGTGTTCATTTATATATTTATATTTTACATATTCTTTTCTATGCGTTGCTGTTCATCATGAAATGATGTGCTCTGGGCTATCAACAATTCATGTATTCCGTTGGAATTATAAACATTATAAAATGTGTGACGCCCTCTTACCCCTACAGCTAAACAAGGTATCCCAATCACCCTATCTTTGGCATTGTCATAACAATGCAGAGCAATATAATAGTGAATGTTCATATCTTTTGAGCATTGCAAAATTAACTGCCTTCAGACCTGCACTGACCCTGTGCATGGGAACTACAAAACACAACGCTACCGGACAGACGACCACGATCCTGTATATTAAATGTGATGCTTACATGGGTCGTTGTTAGAAAGAAAGTATGATTGTGTGCGTGTGTTATTGATGTATATATGGCATAATGGGATCTTCATGCATACTATATGGTCCAATCTGACTATGTTATTATCTGGGCATTGGCTATTTGCAGCTATGCTAATTTATTAGTTACTCGAGGCCATGGGTTATACATAGCAATGGGTGTTTTTCTTTGTCCCCTTCCCATGACTTTTGAACTATTACCTTTTTTATACACATACTCGAAGAGGAAATAGTTTTATATTCGGACAGTTTATAAAGTTGACAAGAACGGCCCTGCAACAGAACCCATCCGTGTGGTAGGTATATGATGATGATGATCATGATGATGATGCCAATGAGCATATGTATCATTTTTTGGGGGATTGTTATCGTTTACCACGTTTGTGAGTTGTCACTAATTCGAGTGACCTTGGAGGAGTTTCCATGACCCGGACAATGTGGCATCAAGGACAAGCAGGGGCAGATCAATTCACACAATTGGCCACTCAATAATACACAATGGGGCTAAAGCTTACGCTGCATTTACATAGTCCCCCAGAGATCTTTCCTGCACAACATTGCTTCCATTGCATTTGGCAAACATTCACATAACCAGTGCTTAATGGTGATGGCGTTGTTGTGTAATGCTAGCAACTGTGCATTTTGTCACTGCAAATAAATTCGTCAAACGTATCATCATCATCATCTTCGCCATGATCAATCCACTGCTGGATGAAGGCCTCCCAAAGTTGTCATCGCTTGCGGTTCTGGAATGTAACAGTATATGTGCGTGTGTGTTAAAGAATAAAACAATGGACTACACTTATATATACACACACCGGAACATGTTTAATTAATTGTATTATTGCGTGCTATTGCAAAAAATAAATCATTACATCACCCATGAATTAACAAAACAAACAAGCATGAACAGTAAACTAATGCCACATCAAACCTAAGAACGCTCAAATTTTATAATGCACTTCTGCTCCACTTATTTATACATTAATTGGCATTTGAAGCAAACAAAAATGCACTGGCTGGGAAAATAACACGCCTTTCTTTTTGTTTGGCCTCTTGGAGTTATAGTTTCGTGTCTTGCTTTGGCTGCGAGCGAGCTGATGCAATGATCAGCGGGCGGAGGAATGAGCCGAGTTCATATCGCTCCGTGTGTGTCATCTCACGGTGAGTTTGGCGCCAGTCGGGGTCAGTGTTACACTAATCTCGCGTAACAAGCGTGGACGTGGCAGCAGCAATGTTTTGCTTATGGGCACTCCTGCCTGGGGATCGCCAGTTGGTAGGCCACTTCTTTCATGGATGGGGTTTGTTGCTCTCAACCAAGGACGGAGCGTGATTCCCGCGTGCGGTAATCAGACCCCCTTGTACAAGTGGTTAATGTGAGTAAATGGTCAAAGTTTCAGAGCACTTCCTCCTGTATCAGCAAAAATATATATGTAGTTCTTCCCGGATTGGGCATCAGTGTTGTGGAAGGCAATGGCCAAACCTTGCAGATTGTACACGCCTCAAAATTGAATGTAGGTTGAAAATGTGTTTTTTGCAAAAAAAGTCATACTTCTGAAATGTTGGTGAAATGTTATAAGTTTGTAATAAAGCTGCCAGAAAATTTGCATTTTTTTAAGTTGTACAATTCCTGAAGTTGTGATGATATAAATCTGTATGAACATATATTGTACTAGAGAACAAAAATATGGCCAATTAGGTCACAAATTATATATATATTTCTCTACGATAAATCATGGCATATAATGCAAAAAATAAATATATATTGGACGCATTCATACTTCAGAATTGTTTTGAAACATAACGTCAAGATGAATGCGAAACTTATTGCCAATAACTTTTGCAAGAGCATTGCATCAAAATGTCAAAGGAAGGCTTTTGCACAATTTTTGTAATGATGCATAAGTTGACTTTGACCAACAGCATGTCAGATGCCATTGCTTGTTAGCCTAAACAGGACGCATTAATGAAATGTGCTGTGGTGCCTTTACGCAAATAATTATTGAACCCTTTAATGCCTAGACTATGGCCAGAAACGCCACGCTATTCAAGTTGCCAACATTAAATTGGCATGCATCTGCAAGTGTAAATCTTCCAACCAACATTTCTAAGCCAGCTCAAAATGTGAAACTACCCTTAAACTTCCCTTTGACGTTCATGGCTGCTGTCGTGTTCACTCGTCAGTTGGTAGCACAGTTATCTCATTTCACTCTCCACATGTAAATCAGCAACACTGTAAACATCAATGCGGCCCGGAATAGCGTGCAGCGGATACATGGGATAGCTGCCGATACGGTGTTAAAGCAAAATTGTCAGTCTTAACGAGCTCACGTCCAGCGTAACACGTGCAAGCTTGTGAGTGCGCACCGGACCTCTTGCCAATTTACACGCAGGCATCTTGCCGTCTAAGCAACACGCTCCTTTCGGATACGGGTCATTTTTGTTATTGTTGTTGCTCTCAATCTGGGAAGCGTTCAATCACCGCTCCCTTCTATCGCTCGCCGCTCTGGCAATTCGCAAAGCGCGGGCGGCTCTCGGGCTGGCTGGGGCGGGCGAGGGTTAACAAGGGGGCGAAGCGTGAAGGGCAAACGCCACTGCACGGTAAGGTTATGAGCGGCGTCCGCTCAACGGGAGGGAGTGTGCAAGTTGCCGCGTAGCGGGAGCAGCGGGCGGAGGGGCGGGCCACCCACCCACCCAGAGGCAGCCTGGCCACTCCGTGACAGATCCGGCCTGCCAGCAAGCTCTCGTCATGCGGCTCACGGTGAGCGCGGACTTCGGGGATGGGACCTCCTCCCCTTCCATCCTTGACCCCCCCCCCCCGACTAGCCCCCCACCCCACCCCGCACTTCCCATTGACATTTAACATGATCAGACACAACAGAATATTACCTTCAGGACTGCGAAGCCTCCAATGCCTTCCAGTTAGGCCTGTCAGCTTGACAGATATTCCAGTGTTTCCTTTTTGCTTCTTTCACAATGTGAAAAAAATGAAAATAGGATAATAATAATAGTGGTAATGTACAGAAAAAAAACACCGTGCTAAACAAATACGTAGAACTTGTACGCAAAAAAAAAATGTCTTGCCCTCAGCACTCGGGAGTTTAATAATTTGATGTCTTCTATGATTGTTTTTCAGTGGGTTTGAGTGGCTCCCTACAGAGAACGTTGCTGCCTGCAGAAGATGCAAAGGAGTGATCAAAGCGTGGATTAGCACTAATCTAAGCCAAATTAACTTAACGAATTACAGGTACAACCATGGCTTGGAATGAGAGGAGATGGCGTTATTTAACATAATTTGGGATAATTACACTTTGTCGTGAATACAGTTCCTTCTACCTGACATAATTTATAATAAGGTTTTTTTTTCATTTAATTCTGCACTGCTTCAGAAGGAATAACTCCACTGATCATAATACATTATTACGTCCATCATTGCATTGGCTTCTCACCGCTATTTTAATATTTCTTTTACGATATTATCCACACCCATTTGTCATACACTTTGCCATTGATAAATGACACGCAATGCAGTCGTTTTGAAAGTAGTGTTTTTATCATAAACATTCGCGGATAACTGTCATTTAAGCATGAGATATTTAAAAATGCCAAATTGTTATTAATACAATTATAAACATTACGCTCTGCTTTTGCCATTTGTTTGTAGTTTTCAGCAAATTCATGAACCCAAAATAAATACAATAGATGTTTTATACGCAGACACATTCTAAAACCACCAACAAGTTTTGTGGTTGTGAAACATTTCGCCCAATTCAATTGCATGGCTAAAGCAATCAAGAAATAATCTATCCAAATATGAAATTACAGCATTGTATTTAAATGCATTTATATTGCACGTTTATTATTGCTATCATTATTTTAAACAAGGACAATGTTTCGTTGGACGTGATGGAAGCTGCCTGTAGACTAAACAATGTACACTCGCAATCCAGGGTCACCGGTTCAATCTCCGGACGCGACAGTTGAATCAATGGTATAGCTTTCTTAAATATCCACTGCCTCTGTTCAATCAGCAGTGTAAATGGGATAACAAAATCCAGTCAATTGGCAGGTCACGTGTGTCAGGATAACATGTATACTGCCAACTCTTGAAAGGTGTCTGGCCAGCGTGAAAGCGTAGAAGAATTTCCAGCCAGTGTGGAAGAGTAGGCCAAAAATGCCCTCTAGACGAGAGGACCTATCCAGAGCTCCTGCTCGCATAGGCCCTTCAGCCAGCAGTGGCATGGGCAGGAAACTGCAGGGATGTTATGTTTAGGCTGCACGCCAATGTGCGGTGATGAAAAGCCCACAGTTGCATTAATTTGAAGAGAATCCTCGTGAGATGATTGAGCAGATGGATGTGGATTTCCACGCACAAAGACACACACATATTCAGTAAACTTCCACACATTTCTAGATCCAAGCTGAAGCTCAGCTTTGCTGGTGTCATAAAGCAGCTGTAGATTTTCCCCGCGCCGGACAAAGTTGTAACAAGCAAGCTTAGGCCCGAGGTCTTTATCGACAGAGTCCAAATGATGTTATGTTTCAAGGGGGGGGTCAACTGTCCAACTTTGATAAATGGACAAATTATTTTGCTACAAGACCATTGTTGTGATGAAGCTCTGTGTATACGGTGTTAGCGGTGGGTAGAATAATTTTTCCTCTTCTTGCCTAACAACCCCTACGGAAGGAAGCGAGTCCACACTCCGCACGCGCAAAAAAACGTCGCGGAAAGTTTGTAAACGTCACTTCCGGGAAAACAAATTCACTAAAATTTCCGTGCTATGGATAACGCGTCGTTAATTCAAGCTCTAAATAAGCATAACATGTAAATCATGTATGGAAATTGTAATGATAAAGCATGTAATTATTGCTATTCCTAAAGGCTTGCCTGCAGTATGTGTGGGGATTGGCAGTTGTTACCTTTCTTAAAGAATTGGTTATTATCCTGTTCATAATGTATGAAGTGTGCTTCAGTTGGTATTAAACAAAAGTAATAAATAAAGTTTGGTTCCTTTTTTTTTAGCAGTTGCAGGGCATACTGGCTACAATTAATCATACAATGGATAAACTTTGTGCGGAGTAATTTATGGCTCGCGGACATATCGTAAAGATATAAATTACATTCTCCACAATCAACTTGTGCATCATACAACTTTCCCGTGTCAATGTTTCAGACCTGTGTGTCAATTTAATAAGACCCAGTTGCATTATTAAGTAATTGTGGGTGGCATATCCTGAAGTCTTATGCTTACATTGTTTTTTACTTTCATCTGTAATTATGAAGTGCTACATTTGTTCTTATTCAGTAAACCGACTAGATGCATACCTATGAATGTCATACATATATATTGTTCGATGCTACAAACATGTATAGTCCATAAAAAATATATATTCATGGTTTTCCACACAAACGAACGTATGACAGTGCTCATCTCATCTTAACATCCCTGAGCCAGTCGTGGCAATTCCACATTCCTATGGCAGGGGAAGATCAAATCAATAAACTACCACTGTTGACGTCCCCTCAAAGAGGCATGCAATTTATCAACCCTGGGGAGATGCAGAATTGAGTTAATGACTTTTCCTGGATTCGGACCAGGGCCCACTCTCCCGCCTGGTGTGATACAGTGTTAGATGACCTGTAGATTATTATTAGCCTATGACCGATAGTTAATTCATATACAAGAACATATGACCCGTGCATATAATGGATAAACAACGAACTATTACCATTTTTTTAAGATTACACTACAACGGCATAACATCTGTTGATGCCACGTAAGTTTATTTTATATCGTAGATTATATTTATATATTATGAAATGCATTACCTTCGGTATTTCACAATTGCATGTGATACAATTGAAACGATCTTTTTGCTTGGTTTGCATTGTTTCCACAGTGGTCGGGGGAATGGGTACAATTGGCAAAGCATGCCATGGTATTTACTTTTTAAAGAAAATAAAAAAAACGTGGCTTTACAGGAAGGGACCAAACTAGGATTATGCAAATTTGTGATGGCAAGATATGAACTACTTCACCTGGTATACAGGAGGTCGTAGCTTTTATCTCGAGCCTGTTGCCTGCTCTATATTTGGAGTTTCTCTCCGTGGCCACGAGGAATTTTCTCTGGGTTCTCCGGTTTTTCCCCCACCACATTTAGAATCCACATGCGTTTGGAGTATTTAGGTGCCATACATGTTCACACACGTGATGAGCCACTTCGTTGAGCTCTCATTTGTGGCCAGTTCGCTTCTGAAAGAGAGCTGCATAGCTCAGTGGACCTCACCTGGCAACATAAAAAAAATGTGTTTAATAGTTTAGTCTACTTGACAAAAGGTGTATTATGATCGTGGACAGTGGCTACCTTATTTTTACCTGCAGTGCAAGTGGGTTGTGTGTGTGCAGCACAAACTTCACGGCTGACAGCGTACACTGACATCCATAATCTCAGCAGACAGCCCAGGAGTGGCGTCCGTGTTATAATTGCCTGGACGTACGGATTTGGACGATAAGCATATCGCCTTGGTTGCACTTTTCTGCAGGTAGAGCTGGGAAAAAAATAGAAAAAAGGTGAGCAGGACACAGGGGGGAGGGGGGAGGGAAGGAGAGGTCGAATGGAGAGACAGATAACTCACATGGAAATATTCAAAGTACTTTGAAACTGATTGACAAGTTGCAGGGAACGAGAAATTGTTGCTCGACCCCTCTCCTTGAAGTAGTGTCGTCATCCGGAGCAGCTTAGCCGGGTGTTTGCCCCTCCATGCTCACCCACACTCACCCACGCTCACCCACACTCACCCACGCTCACCCACTCTCACCCACACTCACCCACGCTCGCCCACGACCCCGCACCGCATTCCTCGAGTGCTTTGCGCACGGGTGGCGACACGGGTGACCTGAAGGGGCAGTTGCCGAAGCCACCGTGAAAATTTGTTCTTTCGGCATTCCTCGGCCAATCAGCTAATCCTCGGCAGCGCCACCTTTTTTGTCGTGATGAGGGATCAGCGGGGTCGTTTGTGTCTTAGAGTATACCTCTTAAAAGTGTTATACGGGACTCATGAGCATAAAGAGGCTCATTGATGAGCAGTGAGCTGCGCGAGCCACTGCTCCGCCTTTGGTATGTGGTCTCTTGTCATAAACTTACATTGAAGAGGTTAAGAGGCCGCTTGAATCGAGTTCAATCCACAATGAATGGGACGGGCTGTAGTTGTTGTAAATGTGCTCTCTGTCCTGTTTGTAGTGGCCTTTGGCCCCGTGACACCAGCCTGACCCTGCGCTGTGGTGGATCACAGGATCCCTCGCTGGAGGTTGCTGAAGAGGTGGCGTGGACCCTCAACACAAGTTAAAAATAGATGAAAACGCGTTTGAACGTCGCTCGATCGAGTGCGAGTCAAAGTGTTATTCTATCTCTCATGCGTGGAAGACTAATTGTTTGGACAGGCAGTTATGCAATGCACGTAACAGTGTCGTACAATGCTTTTTTGTATTTAAATGTATTAAGATTTTAAATTATTGTATATCGACCTTTTAGGCTCAAAATTTAATGTCTGCATGATTGGGGTATGTACATATTTAACATGTAAATGGCATGATAAGAACATTTTTATACTGAACTCTATATTATGGTATAATGGACAAGACTTGCTTAACATTCCCCCTAGCTTCTATTGTGCAATTATTATATCTGGTACCAGGTTTCCAAATAATTAAGAAGCAAGCTGCAACTCGTAAAAAAGCAAACATGTTTTAACATTAGACATTTTTGGAATGCGTACTAGTTTAATATTCCTCCTAAATGCTCATTCCGGAAATAAATACATTAATAAATAAACCCTGGCCAGCTACGCATAAATGAACCCAGGTTTTTCTAGTGTTTTGCAGCGTTAACCTTTTCAGCGGGAACACCAACGATGCACAGACATCGTGGCCTTGGTGTGAGAGGGGCGATATCCATGACGTCTCTCCGAATTTTGGCTTACAACTTTCGTGACTGCAGGGATTCATATTCTTGGTTCTTTTGGTAAAGTCACGTAGATTAAAACAAATTCAAATGATAACTTTAAATGATAAAATAAAAAAACACGACGTTTCGATTGCAACACAAGAGGCCTTCATCAGGCGGAGAAAAAAAGTCGTGGGTTTTTTGCTTTCATTATTTCAATTTATAGCTTTTAATTGTATTATATTTCGATTGCAGCGAAATTTTGTTTACCATAGCAAATGGAACGATGTGAAAGCGTGCCAA